AACGCCATTGGGAAATGTCAGTTGTAGCTTACATCAACTCTATTTCAGTTCTTCAATTGAGGAATTCCACAAAACTAGCTTCTGAGTTATTTGCAAGGATGAAAGTTGATTCATATGTAAATTCATGATGGAGATTTTGTGCTTAGAAATCATTAGAACGGTGGATCTACCAAGGGGATCGAGAATACATACATGAAGGAAAATACAGAAAGAAAATTGTTCTTAATATAGCCAAAGGTTTAAGATATTTACTTGAAAATTGTAGGGAAATAATCGTTCACCTTGTTATTAAACCTTAAAACATATCCTAGACAAAAATATAACACCAGAGTATCAAGTTGTATATCTAACATTCTAACTGGCTGAAAAAGAATAATTAGTGATGGATCTTGTCATCTTGATTCCTCTCTTTGGGGACCAATATAAATTACTATATCATCTATAAAAAATATAATACTATAAAATTCTAATATATTAACAAAAAAATATCAATATTTCCATGTTTCCTTCAGTTTAGTGCTACAAAATGAGTGTAACGAGCTTAAAAGCACGTATTTCAAGTACCATATTGAGATAAATGTCAGATAATTACAAAATATTCAAACAACAAGGTAATATTCGACCTCAAGGTTCCACCTTTTTCGTTGATAATTGAGCCCAACCATTCTGGGCCAGATAGCCAGGGTTCCGCTCATTGTAGTTATCACTTGGCTTTGATCTCTATCCACGAGCTTAAGCAACCCAAAATCAGATAATTTTGCATTGAAATCCTCATCTAAGAGTATGTTCTGTGGTTTTATATCGAAGTGGATGATTTTTAGCAGTATCAAGAATAATCTTCCATTGGTCTAGTGATCCGTTACTCATGAATTCATATACTAGAAGGCGTTGTGAACTACAAGCACAAAATCCTTTATGAATTAAATTTTCATCAACTTGTGTCATTGTAAAAAGCTCGGAAGGTAAATAGCAATACCCACCCGAAGATTTCCGGGTTGTGTTTGTAACACCAATTCTCCTGCTGCAGTGCAATTCAGGATTGCGCCTTCGTTGACTGGATTGTCTCGGTTGGCTGACCAAACAACCACCAGATCATATTGATTGAGAAGAATGGCAAAGAGGTAAGATTTGCAGCTTCCTTTACAGAAGAAGCCACAAGAAAAGTTGTGTTCTTCAAGGATGACCCCAATCCTTTTGGACCTTGAGCCATCTGCGAATCCCATTGAAGGGAGAGAAGATTCTTTGTTGGTCCATGTGGTTGATAGATTTGATCGATGTAGGAAAATTATGAGTTGAGTAGCATGGATGAGAAGATGAGAAAGAAGCCATAGAAAAAGCTACAGATCCAACTTGCCCTCATCACTATTAATGAACACACAAGAGGCTACGAAAATGAATTCACAATTTAAACACCTAAACTAAAACAGGGGATGGAGGAGGTTTAATGAAGAAACGACAAGTCACATAGAGTAGTTGAGTTATGTCATGCCAACTTTCCCTCTCAATAAATGCTCAATAAATGTTGATCAGAACCTACATGCTCAATAATGCTGATCAAAACCATGCATGTGGTATTCATCCTTCCAACATGCCCACTAAACATTTTCTTTAGGTCACAAAATATCTTAAGTCAAGTCTTACAAAAAAATATCTTTAGTCAAGTTCTACAAAAAAATTAAGGATTATAATCGGAATTAAAGTCGATATAGAGCATGTGTTACTTGACGAGTTTAATTTTTATTTGATTATTATGAAACTTTATACTTTTTTTTTTGACAAAACTGTAAAAATGGTCCATGTGGTTTCTCATTTTATGTGGTTATGGTCAAAACCTTTGAAAAATTGCAGATTTGGTCCTTTTCAACAAGTTTTGTTGTGGTTTTGGTCCCTCTTCCGTTAACTTTAACAGCTTGGCTGCTAACTTTTTTAAAATGACTATTTTACCCTTAGGAACCATTTCTGCAACCAAACTACAAGGACCATTTCTACATATATTCTTTTTATTTTTATTGAATTATTATATATTAATAAATGTTATTTTTAATATATAGTATTTATATATTACTAAATATTATTTTATTAGGTTATTAATTTCTTTTAATTAATATTTTTAATTTCTTTGTTATCGGATATTTTAATTGGATTAGTATATATGAATAAATATTATTTTTAATATATAATATTTATATATTAATAATAATTATTATATTGGATTATTAATTTATTTTAGTTATTTTTTATTGGAGTAATTCTTTTTTATTGGATTATTATATATTAAGAAATATTATTTTTAATTTATAATATTTATATCCTAATAAATATGTAGCGCCCGAGTCGCCAGGTATAAAATTAATCTATTATTCTACTTATTTCAATTAAAGGGCGGTGAGGGGTTCGTGAGTACGTTGGGTGTACATTAGGTACGCACGACATACTCCTTGCATTCGCATCATCTGGGTGATCTTGGCGTACGCTGGGCGTACCCATGCGTATGCTTGCGTACTCAAGCCGGTTGATGATGTGCATCCTGGCGCGGGCAAAGAGAAGGGTGATCGGGCCGGAGGATTCTCCAGTCAGCTTAGCCATGCTTAACATGGTCACTCCAGCAGGGCCCTAGCACCTGGGGTTTTCCTCAGGGTGAGATGCCCGTACGGAAGGTCCAGCCCGGTCAAGATCACTCTTCGTTACAGGACAAAGACGACGGCTACATGTGACAAAGAGTATGCTCAGAGCATTATCTCCTGAGCCAATCGTTGGCCCTGACATAACAGGGGTCACGATTGGCCAATCAGAGCCACAGATCCTGTCGGAAGTACAGTTTTTGTCCCTTGTACGGACCAACGAGGATCCTCACTATAAAAGGATCTCCATCTTGCCTTAAGAAGTAAGTGATCTCTCTCGGTTCTCATCACTCATACCTAGATATCTCCCACTTACTTTACTGTCAGAGAGTTTTCACAGGACCTCCTCTCGGAGAACTGCTGACGGCCTTGCTTGTTGTGACTTGTAGATCCCTCCGACGAAGGAATTTATCCTCAGTGCCAAAAACATTCACCGGAGGTCCGAAGAAACCCTACTAACCTTTTTCCCTCCAACATGCTTGGTAGCCACCTGCGAAAACATCTTCATAATACGCTGATATCCTCCATATCCGACACAGTGGGCAACAAACTCATATAAACATTAAAAGTGGTGGTGGTGATCGGGTGATGGTAGTGGTGTTATCGTAGGTGACTACCGTCAAGATTGGTTGTAAAAGGCTGGTGGGTTTTTGTTTGACCTCCGATGAAGATATAATATTTATTAGGATATAAATATTATAAATTAAAATTAATATTTATTAATATATAATAACCTAATAAAAAAGAATTACTCCAATAAAAAAATTAACTAAAATAAATTAATAATCCAATATAATAATATTTACTAATATATAAATATTATATATTAAAAATAATATTTATTCATATATAATAATCTAACTAAAATATTTGATAACAAAAGAAATTAAGAAAATTTATTAAAAGAAAATAAATAATCTACTAAACACTATTTATTAATATATAAATAGTATATATTAAAAATAACATTTATTAATATATAATAATTCAATAAAAATAAAAACAATATATATAGAAACGGTCCTTATAGTTTTGTTGCAGAAATGGTCCCTGAGGGTAAAATAGTCATTTTAAAAAAGTTAACAGCCAAGCTGTTAAAGTTAACGGAAGAGGGACCAAAACCACAATAAAACTTGCTGAAAATGACCAAATCTACAACTTTTCAATGGTTTGGACCACAACCACATAAAATGAGAAACCACAGGGACCATTTTGCAGTTTTGTCTGTTTTTTATTTAATGGCTATATTTATTTGATTTACTCCTTAATTACCTTCTCATAATAACTCTTAATAAAAATAGTTTATGTTTGATCAATGATATATAGATGCAACATAATCCAAAACAAACTTAAGCATTACATAGAAACATTTCCTTATGTTTTCTAATATTTATTTTATACTTTTATTATTATATATATTTACTAAATATTTTATAAGTGTGTAAATTACCTTTGTGAAACTTGTCCCATGTTGGAAGAAAGACGAAACCCCTGGTCCTTTATAAAGCTTTATCCAAGTTTTTTAATAAATAGATCAAAAGCTTAAGGTTGGCGTTGGGTTCTCATTGTCTAATTAATTTGTTTTTTAAATATTAATTCGGATTTTGACTTTTTATTTATTAATTAAATATGTTAATTTCGGTTTAACTGTTTTGATAGTTATTTTCGGTTTAACAGTTGTTGAAGGGAAAGACTGTTATAAACTGCCCAATCTATACCTATAAATAGATCACCAAAGAACAAATTTCGGGGTTGGAAATACTCTCACATATTCTTCTTAAAAAGACTAAATTGCACAAATGGTCTATGTGGTTTGCTTAAAATTACACTTTGGTCTACAAATGTTTGGACTAGAACCAAAGGTCGAACGTTTTCATTTTGTTGTTTGCTTGGTCAAACTTGTTCTGATTTTTTTCAAAATGACGGATTTGCCCCTAGTGATATGATTTTCTCATTTTTCTTAATTGTTTTTTATTTTCAGATTCAAAAAAATAATAATAAAAATAAATCTCTCTCTCTCTCTCCATTATTTCTCCTCCCTTCTTCATATGTTCTTCATGGTTCTCAAGAACCACTCTTCGTTGACTCCACCACCGTCGTCATCGTCAGCCACCACCGCCTTCTGCTCCACCTTTAGCTCCACCTTTAGCCCCTATCGTCTCTGTCAACACCAACCTCCGATACATCTGAAAGCCGCCATTACCTACAATAAACCATAATCGATTCCCATTATGTGCCATGGATCACCATCTCGTTGTCTCCGTCCATCTATAAACCCTTGCTCCTATCTCGTCACCATTCTCCATATCTGTAAAGCTTTTGTTTTTCTGGCGATCTGAAAAACTCCGCTGCAACTCGACAAAGCTCCAGATCTGTAAACCATCGTTCTTTTGGCGAGCCTCATCTATCTCCATCTTTCTCCGCTTTCTTCATCAGCAAACCCTAGCGATTTGGTGACGACGTTCCAGAGAAGATGAAGGGCGGCGACGAGTTAGGGTTTTCTAGAAAACCCTAATCGATTATTCTTGTTTCAGCACTATCATCCACCGAAAATCCTAGCTCCATCATCTTCATCCATAAACCCTAGTGATGGTATGTGTTGAACGACGCCCTTACCTTCGTCTTTCCAGATCTAACGAGAAAAAAGAGAAAGAGGGTGACGAACAGATCAGGTGACTAGTTTCTTTTTCTTATTTTTTAGCAGAATTGGTGTTGCTGGTGGTTTGGCGGTCATTATGTGTTGATGACAGTCAATAGTGTTTCAATGGTGGTGCGATGATCTGATGGAGAAAATGATGGGTTGTAGGGTCGTTGGTGTCTAATGGTGGGTAGTGCAGGTTGTGATAGAGAAATGAGGGTGGTGTTTTTGGGTTGTGTCTGGTTGTAGTATAAGGTGGAATGGTGGTTTGATGGTTGTCATGGTGGTGGGAATGGAGACGAAGAAGGGTGGCCTTGGGTGGTGATAGATGAAAGGTTCAACTAAGGTTGATGGTTGGTGAGGGTGGTAAAATGGTGTTGGGTCCATGTTTGGATTATGAAGGGAGTGAGGATGAGGGGTGGGTGAAGGTGGATGGTAGTGAAGTTGAAGATGAGGGGTTCTTAAGAACCATGAAGAACAAATAAGGAAAGAAGGAGAAACAGTAGGGGGATGGAGATAGATAGATAGATAAATAGATAGATAGATAGATATATAGAGTGAGTGAGAGAGAGAGAGAGAGAGAGAGAGAGAGAAAGAGACTAGGAGGGAGGGAAGGAGAGAGAGATATTTATTTTTATTTTATTTTATTTTATTTTATTTTTTTAAATCAGAAAATCAGAAAAACAAATAAGACAAAAAAGAAAATCATATTAACAGGGGCAAATCCGTTATTTTGAAAAAAAATCAAAACAAATTGGACCAACCAAGCAGCAAAATGAAAACTTTGAACCTTTGATGCTAGTCCAAATCTTTTTGGACTAAAGTTGCAATTTTGAGCGAACCACATGGACCATTTGTGCAATTTAGTCTCTTAAAAATCGTTTTTTGGAACAATGAAGGAACATAGAAATTTTAACCAGATTCATGATCACTTCTTGGATTGATTGTTGTATCATCAAAGACACATTCGTACCCTGAAAATTTATGTCATAGGACACTGCTTGCAGGCCTCAATCTTCTATAAATTTCGACATTGTAATTTTGTGTGTAACCATTATTCAAGTATGTTTTCTATTACTTGATTCTTGTACGCTATATATAATTGAATTTCGTTTGTATTATCCTATTGTTTTTCATTGATTGT